TGGGTTTCTTTTCCAAGTGCAAATAAATACCCAATCTTTTGGAGAATCTAAAGGAAAGAGCTGGCTGGGAATACACTCTCCTGGGGCTGTGGATGTAGCTCAATGGTAGAAAAAGGTTTAGCCTGCAGAAGGCCCAGGTTCAATACCCAACACACACAGAACAAACCCCACCCTCCTACTGTGGGAAGTGCTTCCTAAAGTCTACCCTAAATTTCCTCCTACTCCAATATATTTCCCACCATCCCATTTCATTCCTCCTTTCCAAGGCCAAATTTCATAGCAGTAACTTTGCAGGCCGGTGGCCCTTTAAGACTACCTTGTTCCCCCCACGTGCCGTCTGGTTGGGCTGGCGACGCTGACGCACGCGTGACGTCAATGGCAGCTGGTGGAGTCTGGGCACGAGGAGCGAAGTTAGGTTGGGGGTGGGGGGGGAGACGAAAGAGAGGGCGGTTCATTTGCATTTAAAGGGGCCACTCCAGGATTAGTGATGGGGGCTTTAAAGAAATGAGTGTTCCGCAAACTTTCGGTCCAAAGCTATGAGGCAAGAAAAAGGCGTGGTACAGCTGAAGTCTGTGACGACTTGAGTTTACGATATCAATTATGTCCTTCCGCGGGAAGGGGGAAATAGTCCGCCGGTGCCCAGGCTAGGAGCACGTGACCAGGAGGGGGCGGATGGGGGGGCAAGAGAGAAGGAGGGAGGAGCTGGGGAGACGACTGTCAGACTGCGTTTCAGCTGCCCCCACCCCCACATCCTGCCCACCCTCCTGCAGCTGCCACCACATCCTGCCCAGCCGCGGGCAGGGAGCTCATGTGGGGGGATGCACTGACCGAGACCCGGCTTTGGCACCCCTTCCCTGCCCCCTTCAGCTCCAGGGTGGGGCCTCTGCCCTTTGCCCCAGGTCTGGCCCTAGGCGCCCTGGCACTGAGCTTGGGACACTGCTCTGCCAGTACAGCCTTGGACAGCTCTCTGAGTGACTTTGCCTTCCCTTCCCCCAACTGTGACCTGAAGTGGAACTTACAGGGAGCCCTGACCAGATCCCCATCCCTGGGCTGGCACAGTTGTCAATAGACAAATAGAGATGTTCAGTAAAGTTGGACAATCTTAACTCAGGCACAGAGCTACAGGCTCATCCATACAGATTCATGTCACACATTTGCTGAACACGCATTCTACATTATCCCAGCCAAGCCCTGAACACCCAAAGTTGAGTGTCCTGCCTTCAAGGAGCTCAGGATCTGGTCAGAAGTGTAAATTGGAAGCCAAAAATGTCATCAGGCTGTGGTGTGTACTGAAGAGAGAGACCCACAGGGTAGAGAGCGCTCTCCAAGCAGACATGGGATGATACACAAGTCCACGCAGAGAGTATATGCACCGAACTATCTGCTGAGAGTCCTTCCCTTTGCAAGCAAGGTGTCACGTGGGAGAGATGGGGGGACCTTTGCTACGATCACCCAAAAAACAAAGAATGATCAGCCGAATAGGAGAGATGAGGTCGATGGAGATGGCGAGTTGGAGATTGTCCAGATGGCCATGGGGAAGATGAGACCAGCCAGGCAGCCAGAGGGGTTAGAGCTTGGATTGGCATTAATGGCTTCCCTGTGTTATGGAACAACAGGCAGCTAGAGAGACAGCCCTGAAGGAGAAGAGGATGCAGAAGACCCTTTCCAAATGAAGTCCGATTAGGGAAGCATGAGAAAGGGTGAATAAAAGGATTGTAGATTTCTCTTTGCCATTCAACTTAGGAAGATGCTACTGTAGAAAGGAGTTTATACAGCGTGTTCTTTGTAGGACTTTGGTGAGCCTCCTAGTGTCTGACTTCTAGGGGACTGTACTGCGGTTTTGGGCCCCTAATTAGGTGACTTTTCTCTAGAAAAAAAAATAGGTAGTCAGTCAGAGGTGAGGGAGGAAAAATGAGCCCCCAGCATCTGAGCGCAGTCAGTCCTTTTCTACCCAGAGGATTCTGGGATGGGAAGTCAAGGGCCAGAAGAAAAAGACTGGGAGCTGGGGCTGGGGCTCAGTGGTAGAGCGCTTGCCTAGCATGTGTGAGGCACTGGGTTTGATTCTCAGCACCACGTATAAATAGATGAACAAAACAAAGGTCCATCAATGTCTAAAACGATATTAAAAAAACCCAAAAAGATTGTGTAATCACTTTAAGGAAGTTCTTATTTCCATCTAACTTCCAGCAGCATTACTCCCTCCACCATGGAAATCAAGACTTCATGTTTATTATTATATCTTCTCTCATGAAGGTTTTCCTATAGTCTAAATGCTGTCCCACTTGTAGCATCAGCATTTCCTACTATGTTCTCTTTGAATTACCCTGTCAGCATCTCAGGGTGTGGGACATTCCATCACTCCAACTCTTGCCTCTCTTCCCTTGTCCCTCAGGCTGCTGGCCCTTTAATACCCTCCCCAGGTGACTCACCTTCCTTCCTCATTCCTTTGTTAAGGACCCAACATTCCAAGACTGGGAGGACCAGCCAGCCAATCAAAGCCCTGGCAGGCCTGCCTCAGGCTGGAGATTGGCTGGAGCTGTGCTTGGCGGGAGGCTCACCCAGGCAGATCCAGTGGAGGTTGGGGAGGGGGTTTCTGGGAATCAGTCCTGGGAAAGAATTTGTTCCGGAGCTGCTTATGTTTTGGAGAGAATCCTCCAAGTGGAGCGGGGGCCAGAGGGTTCTCTGCCTTGGAGAGCCTCCAAACTGGAGGCAGGTTGAGAACTTAGCTGTCTTGGTCTCTTGGGGACCTGGGTGCCCCCTGCCCATTCTGGATGTCCCCCCCTCTGTGGTGTGGGACCTGATGGTCCAAAGGCTGTGTTCCCATGCCTGTTCCTAAGAAGTCTTTTCCAGCAGCCCTGGATCTCTCCAGTCTCAACATTCTGCTTTCCCGACGTCGGAAACAGCCGGAAAATAAACACCCTGATGACTAAACGGTTTCTCCAGCTAGAGCCTGGGGAAGCACTAAAAATAGAGGCCACAAGTGAGGGGAGGTTCCCCACTCGTGTGGGGGGGGCACTTTCTCATCCTGCTACTGCCACAGCCTCAAGGCGCTGTTCTTCTCCAAGTCCTTGGGGAAGGGGTAAATGGGCTCCCCCTGCCTACCCTGAAGTTTTGGGGGCACGCTAGCGCTGCCTGGCAGGGAGGAAGGACACCTCTGGGGCTGGAGGCCCCATCTCCCATACCGATGGGGAACTGAGAAGCTCCTCATTTGGGGACAAAGTGGGACACTGTATAAATCAGGTTTCCTGAGGAAGGAGTCAGGTAGAAAGGTTGGAAACAGGCCAAGGAAATAGGAGTGTGGCCTTCAATCTGCTGGTAGAACAGACCCATGGAACTCGTCTTCTTGTGGACTAAAAGGGGTCTTTTCAGACCAGCCCTTGGCACAAAAGTCTGAGTTGTCATAATGCAGCGTGAAGCACCTGTACTAGGCAATCTGCTTACATGAACTAATTTAATCTTCACACCAAATTTGAGTTAGGTACTAACTTACCACCATCTTCTTTTCCCCCATGAGGACCTTGAGGTAAAGGAGAGTTAAACAATGTGCCTGTGTTCACAGTTAATAAAAGGTGGGGTAAGAACTTGAACCAAAGCAGATTGATTGCTAAGTTGATGTTTCTAACCACCAGGTCCTGCTGCCTCTCTGTATATATCGGTCTCTCAGCACTAACCCAGAATTGAGTCTTTGTCCCATAAATCAAACCCAGCCTGATAGAAATCAGGGTGTGTGAAGAACTGAGTGCCCTTCTGTTCTGCAAGATTCAGTTGAGATCTATGCCAGATTCCATCATTTCCGCAAGCTCCAGGTAGAAAGCAGCAGGACTTGGAAATAACAGGAATGTTGGACAGCAAGCCCGATGGGCAGAAGGATGGTACCACACTCCTGTGGTAAGGCACTTCAAAATTCACCACACCCTAAGGCAACCAGAAATTTAAAAAAAAAAAATTTTTTTTTTTTTTTTTTTTTAAAGAGCTACTATTGCTTCTTTAACAAGATGCTTCTGGATGTTTCCTGTGAGGCGGGGTGGGGTGGTGAGGGGTAGTGGTGGTGGTGGTTAGGGTCCCGCCCCTTTAAATTGCCCCCTCGGCAGTAAGTGCGCTGGGGCCCGCCAGGCACTAAAGATTAGGTCACCCGAGAACTATGAGCTGTCGCTTTAAATTGCTGGGCGTCAGCCGAGCCAGGCCCAGGGAGGGGAGGGGGCCTGTCACAGGTAGAGGGAGCAACTGAGCTCCTCAGGTAACCCCCCGCCCCAAGGAAAGAACGTGGTCCTTTAAGTGGAGCTTTGTCACCCATTAAGTAAGGGAGAAGGAGTCTTTTCACCACTTACAGCCGCCCCTTAATTTCTCCACCTAGACTCCCACCTCCCAGCCCTCCTGGGGCTCCTGGAGCGAGTGTGCGGGTGAGAGAGTGCATGTTGCGCGCACAGCCTCCCCGAGAAGGACCTCCTTGAGCGCGTGGCGGCAGCAGCGCCAGGCGGCCGTCCGGCGAGCTCCGAGGGGCACCATGGGCGCGGGCCGATCCCTTTAAAGGCCTCTGGGTCTCGCCTCCCACTTGGCCTCGCTCAGTCCCTTCCTCCCTCCCTCCCCGCAGGCGGAGGGATCTGCCGCTCCCGGCGCCGCAGCCTAGCTTGGGAGGGCGGAGGGGTGGGGGCCGGCCCAGCCTGGCCCGGCCGGCCCGAGGGAAGCGAGGGGCGGGGCCGCGCCCCGGGACCGCCCTCCCGGGCCCCGCCCCTCCGCCCCCACGATTCCTCCCATTGGCTCCTCCGCCTGTCCGTCACCGCCGTTGCTCCCACCCCTCAAGCTAGGCTGAGCTGTGCCTACGTCGGCCTCGACTCCCGGGGGCTGGAGGAGTTACCTTTGGAGCCTGAAAGGAGGAAGGAAGCAAAATATCAACAACTGTCGAGGCGGCTCGGGCGCTCGGCCCTGGTCCCCAGCTTGCCCGACGTCCGCCTGCCCGCCCCCGCGCGCACGACGGGGGCCCAGGCCCCCCGGCGCCGCCCAGGGCCCGCGCGGACGCCGGCCTCATTTATTATTCCTCCCGCCCGGAGCTGCGGCTTCCCGGTGTTGAAGATCCCCCGGACCAGGGGCGAGGGTTACCCCTTCCCTGCCGTGACACCCCGTTTCCCTCAGGGGCTGGTGAGTAGAGAAAAATAATGCGCCTGCCACTTTAAGAGGCCCCCTCCCCCACCCGGTCCCGGCCCGGGCGGAGGGTGGTCTGGCCCGTCCCCCGAGGGTGGGCTGGGGTAGCCCCGGGGCTGCCGGGCGCGCGCGGGAGAGCGCCGCGTCGTCGCGTGGCGCTGGCGGGGGCCCGGGGCTGTTTGTGTTAGGGAGTCGGCTGCGGGCCCCGCGGGGTGGGCTGTCATTCCCTGGGGTGTCGGGGGCGCGGGCGGGTTGGGGTCGCGCCGGCCTCCCAGCGGCCGGCCAAGGGGCGCCTTCCTCCGAGGGGTCTCCGGTGACAGCCGGGAGCGACTGACATTTTAACAGCCGGCCCCCCTCCCTCCCTCTCTCTCCTCCTCGCGCCGCCTGTTCCCTCCTCCTGGCCCGAATGGTGCCGAGGGGCCCGGGAGGGCCGCGGGAGGGCGGGGGCGGGAGCCGCAGCTGTTTGGGAAGGGGGGGGGCGGGGATGTTGTTCAGATGACACCGGGGTGGGTTGGGGCGTGAGTGTGTCCCGGGGCCCGCGTGCCCGGGCCGGTGGAGTCGGGACGCCGAGTGGCCCCGGAGGTGGGCACGCAGCTCCCTCTTTGGGACCTCCTAGCTCCTCTCCGAGCCCCCTGACCTGGCTTGTCCGCTGCCCCAGCTGGAGAAGCCCCTGGCCAGAAGTTTGCAGCTGGTCCACGTCTGGGCCAGAGTCCTCCAGTTCCCCTCCACCTATGGCAGGCCGAGCTGCGGGGACTGGGGTCTGCCCAGGGAGTGGGGGCTCGGGAGGGAGCGCTGAGGGCAGCGGGATGCGCTCACTTTCCCACCGCGGTGCGAGCCCCCTTCCCGTCAGCCCGAGTTTAACAGGGGTCCAGGGAAGGCGTCTGTCCCCCTAATGGTTCCCGCTGACCTCTTAGCAGCCCTTACAGGTCTCCTCAAGAAAGGAGGAGTCCGGGGTCTGGGCACACTTGGAGCCGCTGACTTGGTTACCCCAAACTTGTCCTTCGAAGTGGGAGGCTCTGTGCCTCCCCTACCGCGTGCTGTTGGGGGTTGGGGGAGGGTACAGTGGGCGCATCCTGTGTCCCCCTTCTCTGCGTCCCCCCATTTGAGTTTTCCTCAGAGGCTAGTTTCTTTGGGGGTGGATCTTAGTCACCCCTCCTCCCATCGTCTTGGTGGGTCTCCCTGCAATTCAGGGGCCAGCCTGGAGTGTGGGAAGTTTGCCGTCTGGGGCGGTGACCTTGGGCTGCTCTGGCCTGGAGATAGTAGGGGAGCCTGAGCCAGCATGAGATTGGGCCTATTGGAATTAGGAAGGTGACCACCCCCCACTCTCCTCCAAGCCCCCAAGGGGGAGGTCTTAGTAGCTAAGGAAGGCATTGAAGAGGCACATGTCAGTGTTCACAGATGTCCACCTGCTTGTGGCCACCAGGTCACACGGGCCCCAGGACTTAGCCTGGCTGTCCCAGATCCCACAGCTTGCCTGGGAGTGAATTTCCTTCCTGTGGTTTCCTGGTGGTGGGCAGGAGATGGGGGTGGGGTGGGATCAGTGTGGGAGGGGCTAAGGACCTTTTTATATGGAGCAATTCAGGGACATTGGAGCTTGGGTATAGCTTTTTCCTGGCTTGCCCCAGCATGGCATTTGGGTCTCAGTGGTCATATTTTCTTTGTTGTGACTCCCTTGTCCCTCCAGCAAACACTGTACATGTCTGCATGTGTGTGTATGGATGCGTGTGTGCGTACACTTGTAAGGGGATTCTTCTGGGGAAAGGAGGAGTTTTACTTGCTCTATTGTAGCAACCTGAGAGGTTGAGCTTTTTACCTGAGATCACACAGCAAATCTGTGTCAGAGCTTTAGTCCCTCCACTCTTTCAGGCTCAGCTTCAAAGTAAATAGAGACTGGGAAGGAAGACACAGCAGCCATGCTCTTGGAGGTGGTGGTCCCCAGGACCCAGTCAGAAAGCATCTTAACCCTTATGTGGGGGGTTGGGCTGAAACTTGTGTCTGCTGTAAACCAGCATCTAAAACAGTGGTGGAGGTCTAGGAGGGTGGCAGGTGCTGCCTGCTGTCCACCCCACTCTGGGGCTGGTGGCCCTGGGCTGGAGGCCTCCGCTGCCCGGCTCTGCCCCTCGGAGCTCCTGGCTCTCATAGGCCGAGATGTGATCGTCTTTCTGGCTGCTGTTATATAATCTCTCTCCAGCAGGGCTTTTTTTTTTTTTTTTTTTTAATCTTCCCTGGGTCTTTCCTGGGAGGTAGGATGGGGAGGAGAAGGTGGGGGGACACCTCAGGTTGGGGGCTGGAGGAGCAGCCGCAAGGAGTCTGAGGGGGTGCCCTCGGCCCCCCGGGACTGGGAGGGGAGGCTTTGGGATTAGTGCCCTTCGCACCCTCTTCTGATCTTGCCCTGGAAAGGTGCCTCTGCCACGGGTGTCCCTGGTCCTCCTGCCCTCAGACACCTGGATCTCTGCCCGTGCTGTCCACCTTCTCTTCCTGGCCAGCTGGGCCTTTCATCCTCCCTGGCCAGCATCGGGTCCAGAGTCTGAGCGCTTACCCCAGCCTGGTGGGGGCCCTGTGGTCACTTTGCCGACCACCTGTGGGCCTCAGTGGGGGAGGGGTATGGGGACAGGTGGGTGCGACCTGCGTTTCCCTGGTTGTGTCTGAGCCAGCCCTGCTTGTCTGCCCTTCCATGCAGACAGGTGGCCTTCCTGAAGTAAGGAGCCAGTGGGTGGCCGGCGCAGGTCTTCCCCGTGGACGCGGCGCTCCTGCGTCTGCCCAGGCTCTGTAAGTGGGATGAGGACCCAGGCGAACCCATCATCAGGGTTGGCGTGGGCCTGTGGCACTGTGGTGGCAGGTCCTCCCACCCCCCAGGTCCATGGCTGTCCGTGGCCAGCTGGCTTGAGGCAGTCACCTCCCTGTACAGGGAAGAGGGAAGGAGGCTGTCGTGGCTCATGGCGGGCAACACAGCCTTAGCATCACTGTAATCGCTGGTGGCTTTTATGAGCTAGTCATGGGGCCGGAGTCTGGCCAACCTTCTGTCCTTCTGTCCCAGTTTGGTGACTTAACTCATGGGGGAGAGGGTGGTGTTAGGTCCTAGGAGCTCCATTCTAGAAGTTGGGTGTCTGGATGTGTTGTGTTCACATTGCCCTTTCTGTCTACAACTACAGCAGGCAGGACCAAGCTCAGACTCCAGGGAGAACTTCCCAATGCAGCTAGGTTGGGAAGAGATGGTAGCTTTTACTTTGGCCTGGGAACGGAGGGGATCACAAAGCATTTTCTCCTCCTGTGGCTCTGCTAAAAGGCCTTGACCTTTGGCCCAGTGGGTTGGTGCTGTTTGGCTCCTGGAGTATTTATTTTCTCTTCTCTCCGCTGCCTAGGACAGAAAGTGTTGAGAGGAGTCTGTCCTGCAGCTGCAGGAGGGTAGGCTTGGACCCCTCCCTCAGCAGGGCTGGGAGAGTCTGGTGCCGGTTTGGTGTGGTGTGGAGGGGGTTGGGCTGAAACTTGTGTGGGGGCCACCAGGTCACACGGGCCCCAGGACTTAGCCTGGCTAAGGACCCAGGCCCTGCGCCATGGGGGGCCACAGCGCTTGGTGGCACACGTGGTGAAGGTGTAGACACCCGCAGAGCAGCTGTGGCTGCGGGGGAGGGGGTGGCGAGTGGCAAAGATGATTAAAGGATTGGAGAGCGAGCGGGGCCAGGGTGAGGGACCAGAGGCCAGAGGACTGAGGGCAGAGCGAGAGAGCAGGAGGGATTGAGGTTAGACCACAGATGGGCAGGCGAGAGCCCCGTCTGCACAGTAAAGAGCCGGCTGTGAGTCCAGGCGTCCTGGCTGGCTTCCGTCCCTCCCCCACCTGGCCCTCTCCTTGGCCCTGGCGCACTGGTCTCCGCCCCCCACACTGGCCGTGTGTCCTTGGGTAAGTCACCCTCTGGGGGCCTCAGCTTTCCAGGTGCACTGGAGTTTTGCCTTTTGGTGATGGGACATCTGGGTGCCTTGGTGTCAGTCACAGGTCTCTGTCGCCCTCCCTACTCACCCACCCTAAAGAGGGAAGCCATTCGGAGGCATCAGGTTCTTGGGCGCTCTCAGGCACTGGGGGCAGACCCCGGCCTGAGTGACCCCGAGGCCTTCCATGTCTGGCCTTTCCCCAGGTGGAGGCCGCCGCCTGCCCTCCAGGGAGCCCAGCCATGTTGCAGACCGCTGCTGGCCGCGTGGAGGCCGGGGAGTGCTCCCTTGACTCTGCACAGGCCCTGATGGCTGTCTGGACCTGGTGCTGCTGTCTGACCGCCCTCCTGCTGTGGGCCAGGAGGGGAGGGACCTGTCCAGGGCTCCCTGTGGCTGGCCACACCCAGGCGGGACCATATTTACTCATTTAAACTTGCCCTCCCAGCAGGCCCTGGCCTTGGCGAGGTGCCTCTGGCTGTACGCTCTGGCCACTCCCTGAGCTGGCCATCGCAGACGGGGACGCCAGGTCAGGGGCTTTTACTCGCCCTTTCGGGGAGCTGCCCCCAGCCATGCCCCACTCACCCAGTCTTCTAGGATGTGTCCTTCACCAAAACCAGAACTCATGGGAATGTCTGGAGACTGTTTGTCCCCACACTATTTTTTTTAGAATCTGGAAAACTGAGCCTCAGAGATCTAAGTGACAATGCTGTCCCTGGGGCTGGGGGCTCTGACTGAGGTTGAAGGAAGGCTCCTGTCCTGCGGGAGGGGCTGTGGGAAGAAGGCCGGGAGTCTGTGGGAAGGGGCCTAAGTCCATCCTCTAAGAGTCCCGACACCCTGGACCCCGAGGAGGGGCTGCCTGTGGGTTTGGGTGTCTGGACGAAAGCCCCCAGAGCAAGGGGTCAGGAGCAGATGACACGCGGCCCCATCCTGAGTGTCCATGAGTGTCCCCTTGGGCTTCTGCGTGAGGTGGGGGAGGGGGGCTAGAGTGGGAGGCCTGGACCCCCTAGGAGCTAGGCCTGTCCCAGGGCAGAGCCCGGCCAGGAGCTCCCATGGAGAGCGGTCCCTCCCCTCAG